AGGGCTGCTGCAGCCCCTGGGTCTCCAAAGTCCCCAGCTTGAACCCCTCCACGTCCCAGAAACCACCCAAAGAGGTCTGGGCTCAAAGCTCAGGCTCCTCCCCACACCCGGCGTCGGCATGGTTTGAACTTGGGGAGTCCCTGGGAGGTACACAATGAGCTTGGTCAGCTGCTAACTGAGATCTGGAGGATCAAGTCTCCACAGAGGCACCTGGGAAAACAAGGGCTGGTGTTTGACTTCTGGGGGCAAAAATCAGCCATCAAAAGGGAAGGTGGAGGGAGAGTGGGGTGGAAAGGGGGAACCGATGACAAGGATCTACATATAACCTCCTCTCTGGGGGATGGACAACTGAAACATGGGTGTAGGGGGACATCGGACAGTGTAAGATATGACAAAATAATAATTTATAAATTATCAAGGGCTCATGAGGGAGTGGGGAGCAGGAAGGGAGGGGGGGAAATGAGGAGCTGATGCCAGGGGCTAAAGTGGAGAGCAAATGTTTTGACAATGATGAGGGCAATGAATGTACAAAGGTGCTTTACACAATTGATGTATGGATGGATTGTGATAAGAGTTGTATTAGCCCCCAATAAAATGATCAAAAATAAATAAATAAATAAAATTTTAAAAACCGTTTTGTTTGGAAGTTTAGGGTCATGGTTTCACAGAACCTCACGGTGCACTGGCCTAACACTGTGTTTAGTGCTTCTGTTCTACCTTTTAGTTCATTGCATTGTCTGGGTCAGAAGAGTTTGTCAGTAGCCGTCCATGAGACAACAATTGGTGTCTGTTTGGAGCAATGGATGAAGAGTCAGGCATGGGAGGAGGAAATGGAATGTGTATAGCTAACTGCCTCCACCAGCAACCACCTCCTTGGCCATGAGGCCTAAAGAACCGGATGGTGCACAGCTTCCATGATCAAACTTTCTGATCAAAGATTGTATAGTAAAATCCTGATTAAAAGGGGGGGAAATTGCGGAACAGAATTTCCAATTCTAAAGGAATTAATTACTTTCTAGAGCAGGGGTCCTCAAACTTTTTAAACAGGGGGCCAGTTCACTGTCCCTCAGACCCGTTGGAGGGCCGGACTATAGTTTAAAAAAAAAAAACGAACAAATTCCTATGCACACTGCACGTATCTTATTTTGAAGTAAAAAAACAAAACGGGGAAATACACTCGGCGGGCTGGATAAATGTCCTTGGTGGGCCGCATGTGGCCTGCAGGCCGTAGTTTGAGGACCCCTGTTCTAGAGCCTTGGAGGCTGGGCGATCCTCTGAAACTATTACTCGGAGGTCATCTTTTAATCTTAAACCAAATATATCCCCTATGGTCTTCTTAATTAATGAAGAACATTTTAGCTTAACCAGGAAAGACTGTCTACCTAAAAAGACTGCATTCTTTTTAGATCTATCTACATGGGATCTACAAGGAGCCCTGGCGGCATAGTGGTTACGTGTTGGGCTCCGATCTGCAAGGCCAACAGTTCGAAACCAACAACCATTTCTTGGGAAACAGATGAGACTTTCTATTCCATTAACAGTTACAGTCTCGGAAACTCACAATGACAGTTCTACCCTGCCTTATAAGAGCCGCTATGAATGGTATCAATGAATCAGCTCAATGGCTATGAGCTGGCTTTTAGTTTTCTATGGGATCATGTAGTTGAGCCCTGGTGGGCTCGTGAGCTGCACATTGGACTGCTAACCTCAAGGTTGGCAGTTCAAATCTGCCAGCCGTTCGGTGAGTGAAAGGGGAGGCTTTCTACTCCCATAAATAGTCACAGTCTCCGAAACCCAAGGGGGGGCAGGTCTACCCTGTCCTGTTGGGTCGCTGAGTCAGAATTGACAGGATGGCAGGGAGCTTGGTGTTGCTGAGTCTGTTCTTAACACCCACAAAGATAAGATGGTAATCCGCTTCGGGACTCGATTTTCCTCCTCTGCACAATGGGAATAGCAGCCAGCTGCCTCAGGCTTGGCTTGCTGATTTCATGGGCTTACGCGGATAAGGCCCTAAGCACACAGGATGACAAGGGACTGCCATTCGAGGAACACTGGCTCTCCTTCCTTCTCCCCGCATGTGGTTCACTTCAGGGTATCCTGGGAGCTGAAAGGCTGCGAGAAACAGGATCTGCTCTCAGGGTTTCCACAGAGCTGCCGCAGGAACAGCGATCCGGGAGAACGCCCCAGAGAACACCAGAACACTACCGCTTGAAAGGACTTTCAATGGCCAAGCACTTCGGGGGTCAAAGCCCCCCTCTTTCTCTTCTCACGAAAGAGGAAGTGAGATGAGCTTTCTCACTTAGGAAAGTACAGAGGCGTCACCAGCATGCTGCCCCGATACCCCTTATGCAATGGTTTGCAGAAGGCCCTGCTGCCCCCCACCTTGGTCTGGCCTCCCTCAGGCCTGAGGGAAGGAGGGCATAGGCCCTTCCCTGAGGTCTGCCCAGAAGAAGCAGGATCTTGAGCTCCTAAGCCTTGAGGTGGGGGCCCTAGTGAGTAACCCCCACCCCTACACACACACACACACACACACACACACACACACACAAACCCTCAGGCTCAGTGTGCTACCTGCAGAATCAGACTGCCCCCATATCCCCAAGCTCTGGCCACTTGCCCCTCACCTAGTTCCACACATCCCCTCTGCCCTGCTGCTCTAGAACCCAGGCCTGGAACTGGCTCCAAGAACCGGGGCTGGTTTAGAATTCCCTGGCATCTTTTTAGAATTTCTCCTTGGCGGCACTCGCGCTGGAAGCAATCTTTAGAAACTTCTTGCCCTGCCTCCCCCAACCAAGAAAATTCACATGACCAGCCCCCTTCACACGGTGATCATGTGAAGCAGCAGCCATCACGTGACCCCTCCCAGGCTGACAGTTCTGCCTGAGACACTAGGAGCCATTCAATCCAAAGCCGCCTTGCTAAGCCTGACATTTGAGCTTCTCACTCGAACAAATCCATTTTCTTGGAAAATTGGACAACTGCCTTCTTTCTACCTTCTGTCCTGTCTCTCTTTTGCTTTGTCAGAAATCCCATGTGTGGAGCCACCAGAGAAGGGGCCTGGGGCCCCAGCCATTAGCCAAACCAGGTGAATTCCACTGCCAGGCCCAGGGGGTGACCACTGGCCCCCACAGAACTAGGCAAAGGGCGTTCAGGAGGCTCGGACTATGGAGGTGACACCCCAGTCCCCTCCCAGCCACCCTTAGCCAGGAAATGCATTCTTACCTCCAAAGATTGATTTATTTCAAAGTTAATCTAGGCCCCTCTGCGGCTCCCACTTTTTCAGGCTATTGATGCTGAATGGATTGGAACAGAAGTTTTATGACCTAATCTTTACCATTTTATAGATTGTTTTTATAGGCAAAAGGGGGGAAAGATTGGCTCCCAAGCAGGGTGTCGGCATCCCCAGCCAGCACACTGGGAAAGGCAGGCTGCCCATGTGAGCACTTGTTAATCAGCGTCCCCGCTCACTGGCCAAGGACTGAGCCACAGGGTCCTCTTCAGAGAAGGGTGTGGAACAGGCCTTTAGCAATTAACTTGGACGCTGGTTTCCCCTTCAGGAAAATTCAGCTGGGGAGAGACAAGGACTGGCATTCCAGGGCCAGGATGGACAGGGCAGGAACTCAGACATGTGCAGGCTTGGGCAGGAAGGAATAGACTGGAGATGCCACTCACTGGAGACATGAAATATACCAGCATTTCTTTCCGCCCACCAAGGACCCAACTAGAACCGAAAGCATAAGGGGAAGCGCAGGGTGGAGGTGCCCAGGTGGATTCCCAGGGTCTCGGGGAAACAGGGCAACGAGGAGCTGCTGTCTGCCCCTACTTCTCCCACCACCCACTCATTGCTAGTTCTCCCATTTTTAAAAATTCTCTTTTCCCTATGCTATAAGATGGTTACCAGTCTCTAGGCAAATGCAAAACGAAGGGGGGGGGGGTGGGATTGGAGTGGATGCTGAGCTCATCCTCACCTCCCTTCTCCAGGGTAGGAGGTACAGAGACCTCTCTGCAGACACACAGCTTCCGGAGGCTGAACAAACAAGATCTCCTTCTGCCCCCACCCCCTTCCATACCGCTTCTCTGAGACCTCCCCCCCCCCCCTTCTCAGGAGGCCCGAGGCTTTGCCAAAAAACCCCTTTAAGAAGCAGGGACTCCTGAATGGTGACCTCACCCTTTGGCGAATACACACTGTAGTCTTCAGAGCCCGCCTGCTGACTGCAGCCAGGTGTTTGATGTAGGCCAACAAAAAGACAAGCTCAGAGCCACAGGTAACAGCCCCAGCCGAGCACCTGAGCTGCAGGGGAGCTGGGGGAAGCCGGAGGAAGTAGGGACCTGAACCCAAGGAAGACGAGTGGGGAAGGGGGAGCTGGGAGCTCAGCCAGGCAGCGAGAGGCTCCGGGTAAGCTGCTGTGAGTCCCCATCAAGATCTGTTGTTCGCAGCAGCTCACCCCAGGGCTGCCGCGGCCTCCCCCAGACGCACTGTAAGGTTGTTTACTCTGCATATCGGGGGGGACGAACCCCCTCTTCCCTAGGAGCAACAGGGGCTTCTGTTCCCACTGAGAGCACAGGGATGACCTCTGCCCCCACCCTCGCTGTCTGCCCCAGGAGTCAAACGTGTGGCAAGCCCAAGTCCTACACCAGAAAGCTTTCATGGAAGGAAGCCCGCGCGCGCGGCGCCCAGCTCAGAGAACGCAGCCGGCGTGTCTCCCCCATGGGGCTGGGGCTGGCTGAGCCAACTAATCCGCCCCATGTCCCAGCGCCCAGTCCACCAGCTGCAAGTCTGGGTCCAGAGAGACAGACTGTGAGGCAGAAAGCGGGGCTCTATCCTTGGCTGTGTGACCTTGGGCAAGTGGCTGGCCCTCTCTGGGCCTCAGTTTCCGCATCTGTAATCCAGGTGGCAGGCATATCTGTCCTACCCTATTTACTACTGTTCGCCGAGCAGCTCCGAGTGGCGGGCTGCGAGGCCACAGCCCACAGTTTGGGGAGACGCGAGGGGGGCTTACCTGTCTGGAGGCAAGGCACGGCGGCGAGCAGCAGGCAGAGCAGCGGCCCGAGG